CCACCGAACCATCTTGTTGGGTCTCTGACCCTTTTTATATGTATGAATATTTGCATTTATGTATGTGCGCTATGTACATTCTTGGTGTCCACAGAGGGCAGAAGAGGGTTTTAGATCCCATGGTTCTGACTTTACAGGTGGTTGTGAGCCAACATGTAAATGCTGGGAACTAAATCCAGGATTTCTTCTAGGGCTGCAAGTAAGCAAGTCCTCTTAACTGTTAAATTATCTTTGCAGTTCCCTGACACCTTTAATTAATTAATTAATTAATTTTACATAAGGCATTTAGCCTGGACTTGCCTAGAACTCACATAGTCTTCGTCTCTAAACCTCCTAAATGCTGAGAATTACAGGCATGAACTACTTACTATATAAGTCCATCCCTTGGTATAAAAATCTTTGAGAAGGGCCTGTTTTGCTCCTCTCAAGATTGAGGCTCAGAGGTCTCGGGCTTCATGCCTAGAGGCTGCTGGTTGACTGATGAAATCTGTTCATTTATATCTCTAAGAGGACTCAGGTTGTCGTTGGAAACCTGACTCTGGAGCCCAACTCTGGACAGTTGAATTTGCTGCCTACCAGCAGATGAGTTGGTGAGGTGGGGTGGTATGTATAAGGTCTTTGCACATTTCTCTTTTTGCTTGACCTGTGTCTTTTTTTTTTTTTTTTTTTTTTGAGACAGGAGTCTCCTTGATGTGCTGATTACTGCTATTACACATTTTGTCTTTGGAGATACTTGAAATCTAAAAATGAAGATGCTTTTTTTTTTCTTTTTGAGAGGATATTTGCACTCCCAAATACCTAAAAATACCTAAAGGTTCAAGAAGGCTAACGTCAGGGAGCAGCTTCTTGAGGAGTCTGGCCTGTGTCAGTCTGTAGGCTACTGGGTGAAGCAGATGGTGTGGGATCAACTTCTCACAAGAGCTGCAAAAGCCACAGGGTGAAGGATAGGTCTCAATGTCATGTGAGACTGCATCTCTTCATTTGTTTTCAGGCTTTTATTTTCACAGAACAAGATCAGAGCTTTCTGGCTATTCTGAGGAAGCATTTAGCCCTATCTGGACACCCACCACAGGGGAGTCATGTGGATGGGAGAGGCCTCTGCATTCTGCTCCTTTGGGGCTTGGGGATGCTGTTTTTAAAGTATGAGTTGCAAACTTGGTACAAGGGTTTGAGTAAACTATTAAACCTATACTTTGCTGTGCCACTACATTCTGTACTGGAGAGGATGTATGTGTGAGGATTATGTGTGTGCAAATGATACAGTGGCCAGGTGTGGTGGTATACCTTTAATCCTAGCACTCCCAGGCAGAGGCAGGTGGGTCTCCTGAGGTCCAGGCAAGCCAGGACTGTTACACAAACCCTGTCTTAAAAACAAAATAGGGAAACCCCACATGGGAGTAATAGTGCCTCAAGACAGAGGAACAGAGCTGGGGTATATTGATGGTTGATGGGGTTTGCACCAGAAGTGGGTCAACACTGGTGTCTGGTATTGAGTTGACAAACAGGGTCTGACTGGTGCCTGGGAGGAAGAAAGAGAATTAACCAAGCAAGTGGTTATACCCTGGCTAGGGACTCACCTTTACAAAAATGCTGGTGAGCAAGCACTGGACCTTTTGTGAGTATGTGTGTGATGCTGGATCCAGGTAGAGTGAATGGCTGGCAAGATAGGGATGGCTGTAGATGACCTCCAGCAGAGCAGGGAGTTTGACCTTTTTTGTTTGTCTTCCCTTTTGTTGTTGTTTTGGTTTTTTGTTGTTTGTTTTTGAGGCAGGGGCTAATGTATCTCTGCATGGCCTAGAATTTGCTATGTAGACCAGGCTACTTTCAAACTCTGCTAGTCTCTGCCTTCTGAGAACTGAGATTAAAGCTGTGTACTGCTTCTAGCTCTTTTAAAAATATATTTTACTCATATGGGTGTTTTCTCTGCATGAATGGCTGCATCACGTTCAAGCCTGCTGCCCTTGGAGGCCAGAAGAGGGCATCAGAATTGTAGAGATTGTGGGCCTCCATGTGGGTTCTGGGAATTGAACCCAGATTCTCTAGAAGAGCAGATAACACTTGAGCCATCTCTCTAACCCCATCTTGCTGGGGTTTTGTTTTTGTTTTTTCTTTTTACATGTATTTAGTTTTCAGAGACAGGGTTTTTCTGTAACTTTAGAGCCTGTCCTAGAACTCACTTTGTAGTATAGGCATGCCCTGCTTTTTTTGAGGGGGGGCAAGCTCTCACTCTGTACCCCAGGCTAGTCTTGAACTCACTGTTTTCCCTGAGGCTGGCCTTGATCATCTAGGAATCTTTCCACCTCAGCATCCCAAAAGCTTGACTTACAGGTTTATGTTACACCCAGCAGTTTGTTTGTGTTGTATGGTTTTGGCTTTTCGTATTTGTATGTCTGTGTGTGTCCAGAAGAGGAGGGTATCAGATCATTTGGAGCTAAAGTTACAAGCAGTTGTGAACTGCCCGACATTGGTGCTGTGAGCAGGACTCTGATTCTCTGGAAGAGCATGAAGCACTATTGACAACTGTAATCTCTCCAGTCCCTTTCTTTGTTTTTTTTGTTTTTTTGTTGTTGTTGGTTTTTTTTTTTTTTCTCTTAGTTCGTTTGTTTGATTAGTTGATTGAGATAGGTCTCACTGCGTAGCTCTGGCTGGCCTGTATATCACTGTCATCTAGACCAGACTGGCTTCAAACTCAACAGAGATCCTCCTGCCTCTGCCTGCAACTGCTGGGTTTAAAGACCTACACCACCATATCTGAATTCTGCTATTTTTGGAACATGGCATATCATGTTTGGGTACATGGAAATAAATGCATGAAGATTGAGCAGGCTTGGAGTAAGGTTGGTATTGGCTCCTAGATCTGCTTTTGTATTCTTTAAAACAAAGGCCTCTATTCAGTCTTTTTGGGTTTTCTTTTTGTTGTTGTTGGTTTTTGTTTGTTTGTTCGTCTTGTTTTGTTTTGTTTTGAGACAGGATCTCTAACCTAGGCTGGCCTCAAACTCCCTCTGTAGCCAAGGACCACATTAAGCTTTTGATCCTCCTGCCTCCACCCTGTCTCAAGCAAAAACAAAACAAAACCCAACCTAACTGAACGTAGTAGTGCATGTCTTTAATTCTAGCACTCAGGAGAAATAACAGCTCAGCCTGGTCTATATAACAAGTCCAGATAGTAGATTCATAGGGTAGATAGAGCAGTGCTGCTGAGAAAGAAAAAAAACACCCTCTACTGCTCACACCACTCTCTTACCTTACCTGTGCTGTCACTTTTCCTGTCTCTGGATTGATTTCCAGCCTTGCTCTTGGTCATTTCCACCTCTGACACCCTAGTTTCCTGCCCTTACTGTTTGGTGTTGTCATACATTTGTTGGTATTGTTTCTTCTACTTGGTATGTTCCTTTCTAGAACCTCCCCTGAGAACTGCCCAACCTTGATGTGGGCTGGGGCCAGAAGGAAGAATGACTTTCATTATTTCTTCAGCTTTTCAAGAGCTCTTGGAAACTGGGCAAAGTATCTGGGTGTTTTTGTGGTGTTGGGAAATGTTAAGTGAAAACTAAGGTAGAAGGGGCAGAGATGTGAGTGTGAGGAAATATGGAAAGTTGGAAATGGGACCAAGATTGCATGTGAAACTCGTAATAGGTCCTCTGCTTCCATTGACTGATTTGTCTCTGGGCACAAATATGAATTGAGACACATCTTATGTTTCTGTGTACAGGCATGGCTGGATCCAAGCTTTCTCCTCTGCTTGTTTTAGACTTTCCTGGACATTTCTTAGTCATCTGAGCATAGGGTTTCTATTTTAGTGCAGCTACCTCCTAGGGAACTTAAAATAAAACTGGCTTCATTTCCTGGCCCTGTATTGACTAGAATATCTGTCATAAGCTGGATAATTGGATTTATCTCTATTTCTCTACACTGTACCTTCCTGCTGGCTCCTCTGGCCTTGGCCGAGGTCACAGTGACTGTAGTAAGTTAGTACTTACCATGTCAAACAGTCACTTTACTAAGTTTCATTGTTGAAGAAGTACGTAAACACCAGCAACCTGCAGGCTGACATCTTCAGTTTTGCAGAGGAGAATGTGAAAGCCCTAGAAACAGTGACTGTTTTAGCTCCTACTGCAGAAGATGGTTTTCTGCTGGGGTGAAATTACCTTCTTACTGTTTTGTCTCAAACTTATTATCAGGACAAAGGATATGCTCCTCTGCAGTCTCTGTGTTTGGAGGGTGTCAGTGTGGTTTTCATTAGTATCCCTGGGATTGTGGCCTCTAGCTGGGTAGGGATTCCCCTTCAGGAACAGGGCAGTTAGTCAGACAGGATGATGATCATGTTCAGAGATGCTCCATCTATTTCCCATTCTCATCCTTCTGTCACAGCTCTGGAGTGAGTAGAGAATATTATTACCAATGAAGAAATAGCAGCAGAAAAGGCCAGTTCAAGAGTCACTTGCCCTCATAGTTGTTAGGTGACTCTTTAGGACTTGCTATGGTCAGGAGTGAGGTCTTTAGAAGCCATGTGTGTCCCCCCTGCCCATTTCCAGCACATCCTGGGACAGTGTTGGAAGCTTGAACACTAAAAGAGAAACATTCTACACAGAAACATCAGTAGTTTCTGGTCTGATCAGTGGGTAGAATGACAGTAACTGGCCTTAGAGGTTATTGAGGATTAAAGGAAAATGTGGAGCTAGTTTTAGTGTTGAGTTCCTTCTTCTCCCCTTACTGGACATTATAGGGCTATTCTGATACTCCTTTGTCCGGTTGCATCCTTAGCACCTATCTGTCATCAACCTAGAGCTTCTTACAAGACGGCCTAAATGTGGTTCCTACTACTGGTCGGGGTTGGGTAAGGTCTCCTGTGAGATCCCCAGGGCTTTGTCACTTACCCTGAAAGAACATGTATCAGCAGAGGATTTACCTGCATGAGGAGGCTAGGCAGACAAAGTTCAGTGGCAGGCTACTTCATGCTTGTGTGGTACTAACACTTGTCTTTGTCTTGCTGGTCTTTACAGGTTTTGGTGAGGTGGGTGACTCTCCAGGATGGGAGACAAGCCAATTTGGGAGCAGATTGGATCCAGCTTTATTCAGCATTACTACCAGTTATTTGATAACGACAGAACCCAACTAGGCGCAATTTATGTAAGTCTCCAACTTCAGAGCCAGAATAGGACCCTAGGAAATTAATTTGGATATCAAGAGTGGGGATTGTGGTATCCTGAACAAGAAGTTTGGGCTTTGCCATTCCATGTGGCACCTTAACAGGGCACCATAGTCCTAGGAGTATCTGTCTTCTAGGTAAAGTAGCAGCAATCAGATACTAGTGCTCATTACCCTCTGGACGCAATAGCCATGAGCATTTTCATTGCAAAGCTGGCTTCTGGAGGTCGCACGTACAGCTTCATTTGAGCCCAGAACACCTGAGTGCTTGTGGGAATCAAATAGTTAACCCATGGAGTCTTCTAGGCAGGCAGGTATTATTACTTGATGGTTTGTTTTGTTTTTCGAGACAGAGTTTCTCTGTAGTTTTGGAGTCTGTCCTGGAACTCACTCTGTAGACCAGGCTGGCTCAACTCACAGAGATCCACTGCCTCTACCTCCCAAATGCTGGGATTAAAGGCGTGCACCACCACTGCCTGGCTGGCACTTGATATTTTAAGGATACTCATTTACTCATATTCTTGACTTCTGAGATTCACTCACATAAGGGCATTTAGTCAGGCTAACAATGCTAGGAGTAGCCTTAGAGCCTATCAGAAGTTGTAAGTATATCTTCCAGAATGTCAAGATTCATTCCAAAATTCTGGAATAAAGAAAGGCATCTTAGCAATGAGAGACCAAACTCATCATAGACGATATAAATTGTCATTATGAGTTAGAGGGATTGTACCCAGGCCCTCATGTATGGAAGGCAGGTGTTCTACCACTGTTCTGTTCCTCCAGTCAGTCCTTCTCATTGTCTCTTCTTTTGGACAAAGGGATTTCACCATTTTGCTCAGACTGGCCTCAGACCTGGATTATTCTACCTCAGCCTTCTAAAGGGCTGGGAGTAAAGGTCATTGTAAAATAATTAAAGCAGGTTTGATACCTCCTCTCCAAAAAGACATTTATTTTAGGAAGGTCCTAAAACAGTGCTTCTCGTATACTATTATTACATAATCACTCATGTTTCCCCTTTGAAGATTAGGGGAACTAAAATTTAGAAAGGTAAACAACCTAAAACTTGCCTAGTGTCACAGTTGGAAGTAGCAGAAGTTCCCACCTCTCCCTACTGTCACGCCATCCCGCCTCCACTCTCAGCATAAAGCCTCACTATGTACCTTTGCCTAGCTTCAAACACACCATCATCCTCCCACAATTTCTCAAGTGTTAAGGCTAAAGTTGTCTGTCATTGCCTGTCTATCGTAGCCTGCCCTTTAATCCCAGTTCTTAGGAGGCAGGGGTAGAAGGATCTAGGCCAGTCAGGAAAACACAGTGAGACTGTTTCACAAAGTCAGGGACGATTCTTGTGTTAATAACTACATTTTGATAAACTTTGTATTGTTTTGTTTCTTAGACACGATTTTTCTCTGTGTGATTCTGACTGTCCTGAAACTCTGTAGATCAGGCTGGCCTGGAACTCAGAGAGCCACCTGCCTCTGCCCCCAGGTGCTAGGATTAGAGGTGTGAACTGCCACCACCCTCCTGATAATCTTTTAGAGTGAAACAATGGGATACAATTTAGGAAGTTTGCTGAGATTGTGGCATAAGCCTTTAATCGCAGCACTGGAAGGCTGAGGCAGGCAGATCCTTTGAATTTGAGGTTAGCCAGGGCTATAAGCTGAGTCTCTGCCTCAAAAAATATAATAAAAAAGAAATAAGAATTTTTTATTTCTTTTTTGTTTTGAGACAGGGTTTCTTTCTAGTCCTGCCTGTCCTGGAACTTGCTCTGTAAATCAGGCTGGCCTTGAACTCAGAGATACGTCTGCTTCTTGAGTGCTGGAATTAAAGGCATGAGCCACCACTGCCCTGCAGAAATAAAAAACTTATTAATTTAGAAAGTATACTAGCAAGTATAAAATTGGGGATTCAATTTCAATTTTTCTCTTTGTTTCCAGACAAGTAGACATGTATGAGCTCATTTTCCAAGCAAGATCCTTTTGAGGACTTTGTGGGTGGGGGAGGCAGGACCTTAGAGTGCTGAGTCCTTGACTATACATTTCCTATGCACTTTTCAGATTGATGCATCATGCCTTACGTGGGAAGGACAGCAGTTCCAGGGGAAAGCTGCCATTGTGGAGAAGTTGTCTGTAAGTAAGGTCCAGAACTGGGATATAGGTAACTTCTTTCATGCCCCTTCTGACCTCACCCTACCCTCCATTCTTTGTCTTGCAGAGCCTTCCCTTCCAGAAAATCCAGCATAGTATCACTGCGCAGGACCATCAGCCTACACCAGATAGCTGTATCATCAGCATGGTTGTAGGCCAGCTCAAGGTAGTAGTGCCACTGTGTTGGAGGGCAATAGTGGGTAGGCAAAGCTCCTGCTTTCCCTGTGGATATGAGGATGTGATCTGATTATTGAGGGACAGCCAAAGTGACGTGTCAGAACAAAAACCATCAAAGTGATTGCCTAGACCACCTGCTCCTCCCTCCTCACCCCCCCTTTATTTTTTCTTTTTTGTGTGTGTGTGATAGTTTCTTTGTGTGGCCTTGGCTGTCCTGGAACCTACTCTGTAGATCAGGCTACCTCAAACTCAGATATTGCACCAAAGTAGTTCTGGTTTAGCCTACTCAGAGCTAGCATTACAGGTATGAGCCACCACATGAAAAAGTCATGTTTCTTTTCATATCACCACTTGAACATTTTTCCTTTTATTTGCTTTTTTGAGACATGGTTTCTCTGTGGCTTTAGAGCCTGTCCTGGAACTAGCTCTGTAGATCACGCTGGCTTCGAACTCACATAGATCCGCCTGCCTCCCGAGTGCTGTGATTAAAGGCATCCCACCACTGCCCAGACACACAATTTTAAATTATGCTAATTAATTAAATTAAAATGAACTTCCTAGTTGTGCTAGTCACATTGCTAGTGCTTGTGGTCTGTGGCTATGTTTGCAGAAAGTTCTAGTGAAGAACACTGGTCTAGAGCCTTTATGGAAAAGGGACAACATTTATAGGAGTAGGTCAAGCTATATTGCCAAATTCTTGGACTCTTTCATCACCCTAAGAATTAGGTAGACCGCTAGCTGGATGCTGAGAGACAATTCTCTCCTACAGCCCTCAATGGTACCACCCAAGCTGGTACTCTGAATCTTTCTTTCTCTGAGACAGGGTCTTGCTATGTAGAACAAGCCCTCGAATTCAGAGAGGTCGTCCTGCCTCTGCTTGCTTGGGTCGAGTAGGTGTACAGAAAGAGTAAGATTGCGCTCCCTCCAAGTCCAGCCTTACTCTCTGTCAGTTCCTCTTGCCCTTTCTGAACACTCTGCCCAGAAGTTGTAACCCATAGGGTAGAGGCGGTGTTTGCAAGGAGCTGAGGTCCTAAGCAGTGCCACTTCACACCTGGGTTCATATCCTTCCTGGGGTTCTGTCGACCTGGAGCTTCACATGACCAGTTTGCCTCCTTGTTGGCTGTTAAAGAAGTGATGCTGGAGACTCCCTGCTAACTAGGCTTTATTCCCATTTTCTGAATTCTGCTTAGAGGTTTTGGGTCTTTTTTTTTTTTTTTTTTTTTTTTTTTTTTGGTTTTATGAGACAGGGTTTCTCTGTTTCGGAGGCTGTCAGTCCAGCCTGGCCTGGAACTCACAGAGATCCTCCTGCCTCTGCCTCCCGAGTGCTGGGATTAAAGGCGTGGGCCACCAACGCCCGGCAGGTTTTGGGTCTTTTTTCTGTTGAGGTTTTAATACTGCTCATTCCTCCATCCTACCCCACTCCTTGAAAAATTGTGATCCTATTGTGAACTTGGTGTGTGTATATTTTTACTTATTTGAGTTTGGGAAGAAGGCTTATTTGCTTGTTTTACTTTATTTTATTTTTTCAGGTTTTTCGAGGCAGGGTTTCTTTGTGGCTTTGGAGGCTGTCCTAGAACTAGGTCTTGTAGACCAGGCTGGTGTTGAACTCACAAAGATCCGCCTGCCTCTGCCTCCCGATGGCTGGGACTAAAGGCGATGGCTGGGACTAAAGGCATGCACCACCACCACCCAGCTTGTTTTAATTTTATGTTTGTTTGTTTGTTTGTTTTAAATAGTCTTGTCATGCACACTGGCAGGTATGTCCCACCATGCCCAGTGTGAACTCGGTTTTGAACCTTAGATCATTTACTCAGACAGAGTCAGTTTTAGCAATAATAGTGCCCCAAGAGTCTTTACATTCTTTGATCATGTCTACCCAGAGACATTGCTGAGTTTAGAGACATGCAAGTCTTCTGCTCTGTTGCCTAGTTAACTGGTAAATGCGCTGCCTTTTCAGTGATACATGGCAGTGTGAGTAGCTATTTATTGACTTCTTCATGACCAGCAATGTTTCACACATAGCAGTTCACATTCACAAGTACCCATTCTGTACTGACATTCGGGTTTAAGACAGTAAGTGCCTGATCCTCAGGTCTGTATTCTCTGCCTTGCTCTACCACAGAATATTCTTCCTGTTCCTTGGTTCTCTTACTGAATCTTTTCTTTCTTCTTCCATACAGGCCGATGAAGATCCCATCATGGGTTTCCACCAGATGTTTCTATTAAAGAACATCAACGATGCTTGGGTTTGCACCAACGACATGTTCAGGCTTGCCCTGCACAACTTCGGCTGACCTTCACCTGGCCAGATACTCACGCTGTTTCCTCCTCCCTCCTTCCCAATACTATCTCACTCCTCCAGATGCTCCAAATATCATACACATGCGAGCAGGGCCGGGGTGGGAGTGGGTGCAGTAAGCCTCTGTCACCACGGCGTTGTGCATGATGTTTGGAGGCTAGACTAGTGCATCTGACAGGGGAAGTTTGTGTTGTACCAGCGCATGCCTTGGAAAGACTTAAGTAATGCAAAAGATTGTCGGTTTTTGTTTTTGTTTCATTTTGTTTTTTAATCTACTGACAAGTTGCTCTAGTAACCCAAAGAAGTGAAGGAGAAAGCAGCTGCCTCACCGCCCAGATATTGATTTGTTCAGATGTTTCAATGCCTCATGATACAATAAAACCACAAAAATTTTCTTAACAGTTTAAATTGTTTTAATTAGTTAAATAGCTGGTTGGGCATCAACAATTCTGGCCAGTTGTCTCTCATTTCACTCTCTCATCTCTGCCTCAACTTAACAATATCTGCTGCAAGGAGCAAATTGACTGAGTTAGCAGTCCCAACCAAGATTCTTTCAAGCCTGCTAGGCCAGAGTTCTCTCCAACCCACTTGGTCTTTGGAAAGCAGGGAGAGCTGGAAGCAGTTGTGGCCTGAAGCCTGTCCTGTACTGAAGGCTCTAAAGTCAGTTCTGTCTGACACCTCCTGTGGTCTCTGCTCTGAGGAGCTTCAGGTCTTTAGCGGGATAGATGATTCTCCTGTAGCTGCTAGAAAGGCCTTGATAAAAATGGTTTCCCATGTTTAGATTCTCTGGGTTGAAGTCCCTGATGGACCTGCTCTATTCCCAAGAGGGTCAGGATCACATTCCGAGTGCCCACATTCCCCGAGCAAAGCAAGACATGCCACCCACTTGGGATATCAACCAGGCCCCCACTGAGTTGGAGTATAAATTCCACAATGCGGAAGAAATCAGTGTAAAAGAGTCATACTCTAGTTCTCCCTCACAGACTTTTCCCAGGGCATTTACACACCGCCTCCTTATCTTCCACACAACCTGTGTACTCTTCAAATCCCAGGAAGTCTTAACTATTAGGGCAGTTTCTGCCCTGCTCCTTAGTTTGGGCACAGGTCTTGCCCAATACAAACCTAGCTTTTCATCCTTGAGACCTCTGGATAGTATAAAGCTGGTATCAAAATAGCAGCCTAGGATTGGTTGGGCACACCTGAAAGCTCCCTCTTCCACAACCCCTCCATCTTACACCATGGGAAGAGTAGCTTTCCTCCTACTCCACAGGTTGCCTGGTTACACCAGCATAGTCCTGGACAGCACACAGGAGGTGTGGTACTGATCTCTAAGCTGCTGTATATTAGGGGATGTAGGGGTCGGGGAGAGGTAGATACCATCTGCCTCTTAATCCACCCTGTATAAAATCTGCAATACAGCTTCCATGTACCTGTGCCTGAAATGTCTGCAATAAAGAAGTGTTTGTAAACTATGGTTTCTTTATTCCTAATTTGAAATTGCCATGTGGGACAAGGGGATGTTGGGAACAGTCAGGAACAATGACTAGTTTTTGTGGTAAGAACCATTTTCTTGGGCAGTATGGCCTCACAAGTGTGTAGGTCTTGCTTACTCCTAAGGGGAAACAGACTTCTACCAATTCACATTTTTCAAGGTCTGAAAAGTCACTACCTGGGTGGTAGAGTTGGTTCTGTTGTACTATTATTCAGAGTTCATCAGAATGAGTCAGGATCTGGGTTGGATCTCCAGAGACCGCAGAATTTTAGGCAACTCTTAGAGCTCATTTGCTCTTTCTCAGGCTTGGGAAATTCTCTCCACTGCTGGACTATCCTGAAGCAAACAGCCCAAGAAGGCTAGATGGGATAGGAACTAATTGGTTTCCCAGAGCTCGGAACCTTTCTTCTGCTCTCTTTGTAGGTTCCGGGAGCCAAGGTCAGTAGGACCGGAAGTGGAGGCGGTTGGTGGGGTTGGCGGGGCTCACAGACGCATCCCGGGCGGCGGTTTGCGAACTGCGGGTAGATTTTTCTGTAGTGCTCGGTCTCCTGTTGTCTGGCGGGGTCGTGGCTGGGCGAAATTGGACAGCGCACGGAGGTAGAAGAACTAACGTCATACGAGCAGGACTTTCGCGGCTGGGCCCATGGCCTCCTGCGCGAGCATCGACATCGAGGACGCCACGCAGCATCTGCGAGACATCCTCAAGCTGGACCGGCCCGCCGGAGGTGACCCGGGATGGAGTGGGTGGGCTTTTGGCTAAGAGGCCGACATCTGGCGTAGATCTGAACCGTCCTCGGTTCAATATGCCCCCTTTAGACCGGCTCTGGATTCTCCCGTCTGATTGCGGAGGACAGAGATTGGAGTCATGGATGATCTCTGGGCATAGCCAGAGAATGGCGCAGACCCCTGCGTGTTACCCCTCCCCATCCTGTGCCAGACCATTCTGCCTGGTTTTTAGGTATTTTGCCTTAAGATAAGGTCCCTCCTCAGAATTCACCCAATCCTTCTGGTTTCCTTGCCTTCAAACTCCAGTGTTTGGAGGACTGGCCCTGTGCCCCTTACTCGCCATGGTTCAGAGGCCTGGTGCAGTGACTGTTTAGCGAGTTTTGGAGCTAGAGTCAAGCGATACACTGAAGAGGCTCTGTTCCCTCACTGCAACTTGCATTTCCCCCTAAAATGTAGACTTCAGGCCTGATGTTCTGAAACTGACTTTCTGACAAAAGATGGACAACCCCAAATTCATGTTCTTAATAGATTGATGGCAAATCACAGACTTTATGGCTCTGACTAGATTAAGTTCCAAACATCTGCAAGCCCATATGTTTCCAATTCATCTGAGTTTTACTTGGGCTCCCAGTATCTTTTGGGACTACTCTTGCCAGGTAAGAGTTTCCAGGGCAGAAAGCCGACAAAGTTGTTGTTAATGTTGTTAGTGTGAAAGAAGATTGTTTGGGTACTGTGATGGTAATGGGGGGTGGTGGGGAGGGAGATAGAGGGCAGGTCTTCTGAGAGGAAACTGTTTAGGCTAGGCCGAATACTATAGACAGGAAACAGAATGCCAGGAAAAGTACTCAAGGTACTTACATAGTAAGCACATATTACAAAAAGGGAACTAGATGTTTGAAAGTTGCAGTGGTTGACGGGTGATAGTGATGTACATGTAGAGGCTATAATTGGGAACTGAGTCTTTTCTCTCACCTTGTTACTCCTGCTGGGGGTACCCAGGCTGCTATAGCAGGCACTGATAATACTCACCCCAATAGCTAATACACAGAAAATCCATTTGCTTCCTGAGACCAACTGAGTCTTTGCCTCATGCCTGTAGTGTGTGCTCCCTTTACTCATGAGGTGGTTTGTGCTTCTGATGCCCACCATAGAGATTTGGTAGAGCCTGACATAGTTAACTGTATAGACTAGGCCTGTTGTTTATCCTTATGGTAAATTGCTTGGAAGGGAGAGTAGCCAGCTTATCTCTGAGCAGCTAGAGTAGCTCTAGTTCTCAGGAAAGATAAGAGGGTCTTTCCCTATAACTCCGTTGTTTAGGGAGCAGCACTTGATTTGTTGTTGTTGTTGTTGACTGTTTTTTTTTTGTTGTTGTTTGTTTGATTGGTTTTTTGTTTTTTTGAGACAGGATTTCTCCATAGCTGTCCTGGAACTTGCTGTGTAGTCCAGGCTGGCCTTGAACTCATAGCGATCCACCTGTCTCTGCCTCCCAAGTGCTGGTATTAAAATCGTGTGCCACTGTGGCCAGCTGATTCTTTTTTTTCAAGTAGCTTTTTGTCTCTCTTCATTGAAGAACCTAAGACTTATCAGGCCTATGACTGTTTCATGACTGAAAACTTGGTCTTTTATTGAAGTGCCTTCCTACTAGCTAAGAGTTCAGAAAGTGGTGTCCGAATTAATGAGTTTTTGAAACTTAGCCAAAAACCAGGCATGATGACATTCACCTGTAGTCCCAGCACCTGGGAGGCAGAGGCAGGAGAATTGTCAGTAGAAAGCCACCTCAGGCTACATGTTGAGGCCCAATCTCAATTTAAAAAAGTAAATACATAAGTGATTAGAGATATAGATCAATGGTAGAGCAATTATCTAGCATGTACAAAACCCTGAGTTCCATCCCTAGCACTATCCCCCACCCCCAGAAAAAACAAAAACCCACTTAGTGTGTATGGGATGTCCAGGACTCAATCCCCAGCCCTAAGGAGGAGTGGAAGCAGCCATTGCAAACATCTAAAATACTGCCATTCCTGATTCCACACTGCCCTGCATGCCCATAGCTCTCCTCTTTGTCTAATTCCCCATGTGCTCTTCCTTCTGGGTTTACCTGCCCAAGGTGGCTTGTGTCAGGTCCCCTCTTCCCTTGAATTAGGATCCCTTCTCCACAAGCTCTACCATTGTGTTTAAGTCCTGGTATGGCAAAGAGTCTCAACTATTCTGTGTGTTGCCTTGGAAAGTCAGTTCACTGGCTACAGCTGACTATGTAAAATTTAAAACCCTTCTAGAAACAAGTGTACTAAGGTATACTTGTAATCTCAGCACTTAGGAGGCAGAAGCAAGCAACTTCAGGGCTGTCTGAACTACACCGGAAGGCCCTGTCTCACAAAGAGATGGAGCAGTGAGCCTTTGTGGCTCTCTCACAGAGAGAAAAGCTAAGCAACCTAGCCTCCTAGTAGAGGCTTTTGCAGCCCTGTTTTCCCTCTATCCTTCCCATGTTTTGTTTCTGGATTGTTTTTTGTTTTGTTTTAGACTTTTCAAAAAAATGCTTGTTTTGCCTGCATGTATGTATGTGTACTACATGTGGGCTTGGGGCCTAAGGAGATAAGAAGGTATCACATCCTTGGAATTGGAGTTACAGATAGATGTGAACCATCATGTGGGTGCTAAGAATGGAGCTTGGCTCCTCTGCAAGAGCAACAGCACAGAGCCATCTCTCCCACTTCCTTCTGTTTTGTTTTGAGACAGGATTTAATTATGTAGTCTAGGCTGGCCTGAACTTCATATCTAGCCTATATATGTGATCCTGAGTTCACTGTCTTTCTGCTTCAGCCTCCCGAGTACTGAGATTATAGCCACAACACCTAGCCATTTCCCATGTTTGTCTGTTGTGAATACAATTACTGTGATGTCCTGGTTGCCCTTATACCCTCCTTCAAGTCGAGGAGTTTGTTTTGCTGTTCTTAGCCCAGGTTTTTTTTGTTTGTTTGTTTGTTTTTGTTTGTTTGTTTTTGTTTTTTGTGCTGAAGATCAAACCAAGGCCTCACGTGGTAAACAAGCAGGCAAACATGCTACCACTGAGCTGTGCCTCTGGCCCGTCAGGTCTTTGCTGGTTTGTACCCCTCCCACAGGTAGAAGAGTCTTAAGGTCCTGCTCTATATCCATACTTATAGAATGAAGAATGAGTAAAGATCC